GCCTTTTGCTAATCCCTGTGGTCTAGGATAATTTTTACTGCGTCCGTGCAGGAGTCTTGACATACTTGGTGGCTGCAGGATGGAGAAAAGAGGATGAAGCTCAGCATGTAAAGTGAAAACTGGGGGAGAGAGAGGAAAAAAATAATACGTTGTTTGTGTAGACATTAATGGAGGAGGTACGAATCAAGTTCAAATCCAGGCTAACTTCCTCTAATCAGTGAATCCAAAATAAAGGCAATTTATGATGCTATTTCAATATTTTCTTTGTTCAGTTTTCACAGAAAAATTTTATGCATTTTAAGGAACTTATGAGCCACAGGTTGTAACTTTTATCACCTGTGAATTTTTTTAAATCTCTAAACAAAATGTGGGAATATGCAAGTCAAATTTTATAGACCAATAAAAACACTGAAAAATAGAAATATCTCTACACTAACAAACTTGTAAGCTGAGGACCATTAGAGACGACCACATCAATTATTGTTGAAATGGATTTCTCAACAGAATTAGATCTTTTATTTAGAAATAAAAACATCAGTAATCTAGAATAAATTATTTCGTGAGTGCCACCAGAGGGCACTATATCCCTTGCAGAAGATAAAAGCCTGGCCATCAGACACTCTGGATTTTTTTCTTTGAGGACACATATCATAGGGCAGAAAATGAACACCAACAGTATATTTCCATTTTTTCCATGTCATTTTACTAGATATATTTTACCTTGTTTTTATTTTTATCTTACAAGTCAACCTCAAAAAACATAAAGCAGGAGAAATGAGCCATGACACGTTTTTTGTTCAGTTTAGTCCAAGAGAGTAGGTGACAGAGAATAAAAGCACAATGAAAGTGAAGGTATCATTTCCGCATTAACATCTTGCCCCCCAAACGCCATGCAGTGCTAAAAGTCACATCTCCAGCATGCAAGCACATTAAAATATACGGTGATTTAAAATTCTGGCTTTTATTATGGGATACTAAGTGTCTCCATGCGGCATGCTTCCCCTTTGGACTTAAGGTAAAGAAATATCAGTACAGAACAGTTAAGTCTCCCTACTGTAATAAAAATGGAAGAACCATTTTTTTTTTTAATGTAGAATCCATGTCTAACGTTTTCTCTGTGGTCTGTGGTAGTATGCAGAAAAAACGTGCAGAAGAGACTAGGAAATTGCTTCCCGACTCACAGCGTAGAGAAACATGTAGCTGTTCCAAATCTTCTTTTTTTTCAGTTATCTATTACAAAAGCCTAGGGGGGCAGTCACCTCACATTTCTAGGACTTGATTTCTCTTATGAAATAATTATGCAAAAAATTGGAAGGGAAATAAATGGAGAAAAACAACCCAATCGAATATCATATTCTATTAGACTGAAGAAGAGATTCAACCTGAAACTTCACTTGGATATGGCAGCTTTTCAATATATAGTGACTTTTGAAATGTCATTCTCTGTACTTAAATTACTCACTAAATCTTCTGTGTGGCTTTATCAAAATATTACCTTTTAATGTCACCTTTCTTTAAAAGACTTAAAAGGGTATTTTCCTTTTACGCCTCAGTGTTTGTGATTTAAAGGCTATCTGAGGAAATTATCATGATTACATGAGAAGAAATTGAGAGAGGAAATTAAGAGCCTGACCCCTAAGTCACTAAGCTGGGTCTGTGACATCTCTCGATACTTTTGGAAAGAAAAACAAAATAAATGCACTCTATTTCTTTAAACATATCTCTTTCATCTATGGATCTCGCATCACCTAACAAACATCATACTTTTCAGGAGGAAGGAAAGGAAGCAGAATAATTAGGTTAAACCCATAGTCACAGTCAGCAGGTCACTGCAGGAGGGACAGAAACCTATTAGGCCATGACGGAGGGACTGTGCTCAAGGAAAAGAGGCCTCCTCAGATTTCAAATGGATGACTTTGCAAAAGTCGCCCCGTGTGCCCATTTCAGCAGAATGGCACACACACTCCAAGTCAAACGGCTGGGTCCTAACAGCAATTGCTCAAGGTAAGTTGAGAGGGAGGTACAAGTTCAAGTCCTGGCTGTACCACCATGTGCCTCACTTTTCAGAGTTTGTTTTCTTCTTCCATCAAAAAGAGTAGCGATAATCCGCAATCACCCCACAAAGACCACTGGGGAGGTAGAAGGGAGAGCCTGAAACACCAACTTGCAAGCTACAAAGTGCTATGTAAATATAAGGCATTGGTTTCACATCGAAATCTGACTCCAAAGACAAGCTCTTTCTTAGGCTTCCTGGAGTCTTTGTAATAATATGTTTCATGATTCTTTCTATGCCTTTGATACTATGCTGAGGTTAAAGCAGAAATAAGAATTATTAAAACCAAAATATGCCCTTCAAACGTGGGACCATCCAATTCAGCATGTGCTGCAATGGACCAACCAGTAAGAGCATCACACCGACACCAGACTGGGTCTCCAGACCAACGGATAGAGAGAAGTGATCCTCCCCACAAGCCCGAAAAGGAATCCAGTGCAGGTCGCAGTCCACAGCCGGTGCCACAGGTTTGGACCTGGTTAGGCTCAGAGATTGTCTACTTCCCTTCTGAGGGGCCGTGGCTCTAGGTCATTCCACAGCCCTCAGACCCCATGTCTACAGGAGTGGGTAGATCACCTGATAAAACGACCCGACCCTAAATCCCTTTCAGAGATAACTCAAACCCCAGGAATAAACTGCAAGGAAGAGGCCACAGCTGAAGCTGGGAACTCACAGAAGCACCCTCTCCTGCTCAACACAACATAACACAAAGCAAAAGCATCTGCAGAGGGGAAAGAGCTGACGAGAGGGAGGTTTGCGTCTAGGAGAGCAGAGCGCGAAGTTGTGCAGTTCGGTGTACTCTTCATTTGGAGAGACTCTACAAGGAAACTACTTTAACAAAGCAAACACTTCTAGATTCAGTTGACTTTGAAAAATAACTGGAAGGCTTAAGTAATCTCTGGACCGATTTTGCCTTTGAGTGGTTCTAAAGGAATTTACACTAAAAAAGTCAGTTAAATATGCATTAATAAAAAGCCGAAGGAAAGCATTGAAATGTTATTTCTAAGCCCTAGTCAAAAGCTTTCGGAATACTTCAATTTAGGAAAAATCATTTTGAAATTTATAGGTTGGTGTTGCAAACCAGAAAAAAAAGTAAAAGAACATTACATCCTACTCCATTATTATTTCCCCCATTATTCTTTCTCCTTCCCTCAACATTTTTTTTTTTTTACATTATGAATTCTGTACAATCAACCTTTTAACAGCTGCTAAATACAGCAAGAATCAATGACCATTTCTAGAATGCAGAGACTAAAGCACTGGCCTCTGATACAGAAGCTTGCAGGTCCAATCTGAGGACCTGAATCTTCATTTCTCTCCTGTGCCAACGGTACACTCCCACTGGTGAGGTGCCCTCTTCCATGTGGCCAATGGCCTCACCCAGCACTTTCTATCTGTGTTTGCTGGGCCAAACTGACTTACATGGCCTCTTATCTCACAGAAGCTTATAATACGACAACTTTCTTCCTTTTTCTTTTTTTTTCTTTCCTAAGTTAAGGTTGTTTTTCGTTTGCAAAGCATTAAAATTTCTTAGTAAAGCTTGAGGAAATATTCAACAACTATTTCCACTTAGTTTGCATACAAAATTCAGAGGGTTATTTCTATTTGAATGTCAAGCCACACTTAGACTCTATAAAGAAAACTGTGTTATGTTGACAATTTGCTAAGGGTAGGGCCAAAATGGGTTTTTGGTGGGTTGTGATTATTCTTATGGTGAGAAATATTCATGATGCTTAGTAAGTGAAGACTTTCATATTGCTTGCCTAGTAAAATTAGTTCTTTTAACAGATCCCAAAATTTCTATTAGTCTGTACACAAAAGACGACATTGATTGTGTTTCATCTGGTTTAGAATTTGTGGGCATAAATAGTGTAAAGCTTAAAGTTTATTTACTAGAAGAGATACTGTGAGATGTAAGTCCTTTTCTAGTTAAAAGAGTGACTTAAAACAGAGAAATCCAAGCCCTCTGGGGCGGGGTCGGGGGAGACACCAGAAAATGAAAGCTTATTATTGCATGCCCCATATTTATCTGAGATTTCCTGAGCATTCCTCAAACATTATAGTGCAACATAATAACTCCAATTAATCAATAATCAATAATATTTCTATTTCTCTCAAGCAAAACATATATCCTTTGAGAATATATACTGAGCAAAACATGTAATAGTATATCATCTTTTAAGACACTAGTAATTTGACCTATAAATATATTTAAATAACAAACATATTATAGATAGCTATTCACATAGAACACAAAATGATACATAAATGTACAAAAATAAAGAAATCGTGTTTTAACTCTTTTGTTGTTTTTTGTTGGATTTGTTTTTTGGGGGGAGTAGAGATATTAAAACAATTCGAATAACAGAATCACCTTGTCATTAAATATCCTGGGGAACCCAGGTATATGTATACTGTGCATAGGCACCGCCCCCAAAGGACAAAAGCAGCAAACATTCCTTCCTGGACATCTTACATCTCATATGATGGTTCAGAAAAGCCTAGAGGAAGTAGAAGCCTCCAAGTGTAATGAGAATAGTCTTCTGTTAGCTGTTCAGTGGAAAGGAAGAATTAATCAGATCCCACCCCCACCTGGGTAAAGTGTGAAACTATCAAGCTGTCCTTTGAGCGAGTGCAAGATAGAACATGACTCCTCCCTGCGCTCTCCCACACGTCACTTGTTAGGAAATAACTTGTCAACTCGTGGAAAAAGCGCCACCATTCTGGACCGTTAGCAGGAGATTTCGGTGCCACAAACACGTTTGTCCTGCTCCAGTTGCTGCTGTAGAAAACATTTCTCCACTCAAAAAAAAAAAAAAAAAATGATTTGGAGAACTCAGCTACTCAACCAGGTAGAATATGTACATTCTTCTTTTGGAAAACTAAATAGTTCTATGAATAAGTATCCCTGGTTTAAAAAAAAAAAAAGTGATCTTTTATCCACAAAACATCGTAATTCTCTTGAGAGCAAGGAATAGAAGATAGAGTTCTCAATGGCATCTAGAGCCTGGCATACCCGTGAGCTCCCGGCAGGAACGCTGAGAACCCTTCGGCTGGACTCAGTCACTCCAGTCTTGACGAAGCCCTATGGCCAGAAGCAGGAGTCCTGCTGTGATCGGTGCTGGTTCTCGCCTGAGCTGCCTCTTTAGAGAGGGATCTGATGCTTGAGGAACCGGTCTCAGTTTTCCATTGAAGGAAAAATGTAAGCTCTTGCAGCATCTTGAAGTGTTGCTAGGGGTCAGGAGGGGAGAGAACTCTGGCGTGTTCTCAAATAGAATTTTCGACGGAGGTGGAGGAAGGCGGGCTCTCACGGCCCTGCGGGGGGCCTTCCGGGGCAGCCGTGGGGTCCTGCTGCTGGTGATAGATGTCCTGAATCAGCAGAGTGTTCATGACCTTCCACTCCCTGTACTTTGTGGCTGTCAGCTTCGGATCATCCAGCAACTGGTTAATCATGGCTAGGTCATGTTCTTTACACTGTCCAAGTAGAAACAAAAAAGTTGGGGTGTGTTGTGAGTCTCTTAGTTTTAATAAACCACCTTCAGCCCTTTTACAAGTAAATGCACATAGTCAGTCATCATAAAATTATCAAACTGTTTTTACACGTTAATAATGAAATTCCTACAATAACCCTGAATAATATGGCAGGACATACATTTAAATACGCTAGCCACAAAGAAGTTAAGTATCTTACCCAGCGAAAGAACTAGACCTATAGCCAAGGTCTTCTGCGTTGTTCTTCCCTGATCAATCTGTTATCCCACACCACTAATACATCTATCTCGGTGCGAATATTATTCCTCCTAGAACTCACAATTATATAATCTCATTGCTCATCCAAGCTTCACGAAGTAAAATTGAGACATATTATTTCCCCTAAGAAATAAGATCATACAAAATATTTTGTGTATTTTTTATTATCTTAAATTTTAATAAATCACACACATTTAATAAATATATAGACCATCTTTTCATTCAAAGACTACTAACTTTCCATGAAAACAGCATGTACTACAATGATACTAATGGAGTAAACAATCTATTCATATTATTTCACCTTGCCTCCTCTGTAAACAATGACGCACATTTCTGAAATGTTGGGCTCAAGTGAGGGGAGTTTTCTGTAGTCAAGAAACGGAATAAAAATAAAATGCAACAGCTTCCTCGTTTAAAAAAAAAAAAAGAAAAGGATCATTTTGTCCTGACAATTTTACCTCGGATCTTTCTCGTTCCCTCTATCCCTATGACCTTAAGCCCGATTTTGGATATAAGGTCCAATATGCCAACTTGACCTGCTGCCAGAGCCTCCTAAGTGAGTCCCTGCCTCCAGTCCCTGCTTTAAACCCATCCCGCACATGGCAGTGCTGGGGTCCACCAAAAATGGAGGTCCCTTCAGTCGTTACCCTTCCTGTCCAAGGTTCCGTGGACTTGAACTCCATATGTTGATTCTCCACTTTCTTCTTTCTTTCTACTCTAATAGCGTTGATGCTAATTCACTCCCCGCACCCACCCACAATGCTAGTTCGCACCTCCACGATGCTGTGTCACATGAAGAATCTTCCTCATGTGTCGTCACCAGATGAACTCTAATTCCTAACGTTGCTTTCACATGGAACACTTTCTAATCTTTCTTTAACAGGTTTTACTGGAACTCATAAATCTATACTCACTTCAGGCATTGTGTTCTCCAGAAAATCTTCTCTGAACCTCCAAGTTGAACTTAGAAGCTTTTTCAGTACTCTCCTGCCCTCTTAGAATTTACTGTGCTATGCTAAAATATTCATGGACTTGTTATACCAGCAATTCTAAAGCTCTTTAAGGAAGGCGACTAAACATATTGTATTCATCCCTGTATTCTTCACCCCTCACACAGTGCTGAGTGCCAGGTAGGCATTCAACACATATCTATTATTGAGCTAATCTCTCTGCCTACCCCAAGGAAGGCATGTGTGTAGCTAAAAATTTACAACCATGCTCACTGGCCACAGTTCCAATTCATGAGCACTGCCAGTAAGTGGGCTTTCACGACTATCCAGTAAGCATATTTCCTCATCCCTTTCCTCTCTCACTCTTCCAAAGGACTATTTCAGAACTTCTTGTCTTTATCCATATCTTGCTCCCATCCTCCCTTGTAGCTGATGTATTTTTTTGTTTTGAGGAAATTGCAACGATCAGAATACTTCTCCTAAGTTCCTGTTGCCCACTACTTATATTTGCATTAATATATTGCTGCTTTCCTTCCTGTTCATTTGGAGAAAAAGTCTGCGCTCCTAGCAAAGACCAGTCTCTCCACTTGTGTACTATCACCCCCTCACACCCAAGAAATTCATTCCAGCATTTCTTCCCTTTTGTGCAACTCATCCATTTCCCATCTCCCCTTGATTCTCCCTTTCCTCATTGTCTCCAAGGTCCCTGTCCCTATTCTTTCACAGACCCATTCCCATTAGTCTTGTGCCCCCACCATTCTACCGAAACTGCTCTTGTGAAGGCCGTCGATGACCTCCATGTTGTTAAATTCAATAATCAATTATTTATCTTCAACAGCATCTAAAATTGTCGATGACTCTTTTTTGAACACGTTCATCATGTGGCTTCTGTGACACATTCTCCAGAGTTTCCTCATCCTACGACGGCCACTTATTCTCAGTCTTCTTCACTGGCTCCTCCATGTGGCCCAGTCTCTGTAACACTGGGACACCCCAGAGCTCCAGCCTTTAGCCTCCTCTCTGTTCTGGCTACATTCATGCTCTTGGTAATCTCATGGAATCTCTGCCACTCTCCCTGTATACTGAGGGTCACAAATGAACTTGTTTATCTAAACTTCCTCTTCAGCAGCTCCACCTGGACACCTAACAGGCATCTCAAATATACCATGTCTAAAATGTCCAAAACTAAGTTTCTGTTGTTCTCTACATGCCCTCCCCAGCCCCCATATGAAATGAGGCACCATATGAAATGATCCCCCTTTGCCCCTCTGCTCACCCCACCCCCACCCCGTACTGTACCTCAACCATACTGACCTCTGCTTACCTTAAACTTGTTAGGTACCCCCCCCCAACCCCTCCCCAAGGGATTTGCATGTCTGTTCCTTTTACCTGGAACATTCTACTTCAGATAGCCTGCCTCAAGGCTCATTCTCTTTCCTTTTGCAGATTTTACCCAAATTACATCTTTCAAAGAGGATTTCATCTCTACCCTAATTAAAACTCAATCCCTCAGCATTCTTTTTCCCCCTTCTCTTCTATCATCTAGCAAATCTAGCATACTAAGTACCCTAAATATTTTGTTTATTTTTCCTCTACCTAAATGTAAGCTTCACGAGGGCAGGTAATTTCATCTGATATACCCACTGCCACATACCCAAGTACCTGAAAAAATGACTGACGCATGGTAGACGCGTGTCTACTTGTTGAAGAAAATAAGAACATGAAATAAGAAATGAATGAATGAACAAATTATCTATTTGCTTTTTAATTTCTTTTGCATCATGAACCCTATTTAGAGTCTGAGGAAATCCTCTTCATAAACAAATAAAAATGTAATATATATCTAGATATCTATCTATCCATCTATTTAGGTACAGACATTTGCATATAACTTTAGGGATTCTAGAATTGGCAACATGTATCTCATCCAAATCAGGTATCTGGTCATAAGTGATCACAAATATTAATGGCACACAAATGTACTGTTTGTACTCTATAGTTAGCTTTAACTTACATTTTGTTTGGGGTGTTTTGTTACGTTTTCTTTTTTTCTTCTTTTCTTATTTCTAAATTGGTCAGAATAATATGTATTTCAAGGGAAATATACCCATATACAGTAGTCTGAATGATGAGATTTATAATTTTGAATCGAGAGAGCAAGAATGTGTTATAGATGGAGAGGAAAGGATACATTTGGATCTCAAGAAATCCAAGTAAGAAAACAAGTAGGAAAATAACTTAAAAAAGGATAACAGGTAGGCTGACCAGGACCTAGAAGCAGAGGAAAGGAGGTTAGACAGGTAACCAGGAAGGATTGTTGGTAGAAAGTCAAGCTGGGCCCAGAGAATTTTCTTTCTTCTCTCTGAGTTCTCAAAATCTACCTTTCAAAAACTAGTATTTTCAAAATCATAGTAATAATAATAATAATAATAAAGCTTTCATGCTTTATCACCATATGCTATTCATATGAAATTATTTAAGAATTTTTACTTTGTTCTTAAGAAATTGTGGCATCTGCTCAGAGCAAGATTCTAATATTTTATTGAAATAACTAAGATCTTTGCAGATTAACAAAATTTGGAAAATCGATTTTTTTAAGGCAAAATTGAACTAACTACCCCTCTAAATCTAATTAAAGATCTTAGAAAAGGGTCCCTTCCACTTTAGGCTAACACTTCACACATGGTTTGAGCTCTAAACAATTCAAATTTCTTACCATTTGGCACAAGTCTGTGTTAATTCTTTCATGATTAAAAGAAAAAAACTGTAAGCGTGAATCAAGAAAAAGGAAATTCATGAGAGAACAGAACCTCTGAGCTCCCCCTAGACCCAGCACCCTGGGGTCAGCAGCATCACCCGCCAGCCCTGCTCTCCCTGTGGTGCAGGAGGCTCGCCGAATGCTTTGAATCACTTATACAAAGTCCTCCTGACTTTCCGGCGGGCAGACAGAGCTTAGTAGGGCTTCCAAAAAATACCATGAAAGAGAGAATGCTATCCTTTTGTTTTTTCACTCCAAATATGCAGTACGTGGCTTGACCCAAGACCTCAGCACCGGAAATGTGCTCTACCAAAGCAACTGGGAGAAAGAGGGTTTGTTCCTCGACATAGGCCAGGGAAGCCCTGAAAGTTTTAGGCGGACCCATGAATCATTCATTTTAAAATAAAGGCAGACTTAGCCAAAAGTTAATGGATGCTGCACTATCAGAAATTCCTAAAGATCTACACTTCGAGGATGACATGACAGTTTGCTCGACTTCCTAGGAGAATTTCCACAAAGAGCATTTGTCTCAATACAGTCCCAGTGTGGGAATAGTTCTTTATTGATGGACTGCGTTCTTCGCTAATATAAACATTATTGTTAAAACGGTTTCCTTGTTTCTGCATTAAACTCTGTTGTCTTTGCGGGCCCACACTCCAGCTTTGAAGTATTTTTTAAATAAATATTGATATCGCAATGAAACATGCATTAAGCATATATAATAAGATTTGTGCTTGATCAATCATCACAAAGTAAACACCTCTCTGTAACCACCACCAAGGACAAAAAAGGACCCTCACCCAGCCTCTCAGAAGCTGTCCCTGGGGACAGCCATATCCTCCTGTCCTCCACAAAGGCAATCACCATCCTGACTGCTTTGGATTTTAAAAACTATTAAAATTAAATTATTAAATTAAAGTTAGTTAAAATAATTCTTAGAGTCTTTCGACATGAATAAACAGACATGTACCAAATCACCTTCCTGCAACATATAGGTTAATGTGCTTTTTTTTTTTTTTTCCAGTAAAACCCATTTCCACATCACCATGTCTTCCCTCCTTCTGATGAGGTTCACGGGCCCACATGACATCGCTGACGGTCCAGCAGCCCCAGCATCACACCTTTGTGAGACCTAGGGGATCTGTGGAAAGGGCTTCTTTCAGGAACAAAGAGAGACAGCAGCTCTTCCCCCGGGTGTGGCCCTCTGTGTCCCTTGCTCCCTGGTACTCCTGCCCTTGGGAAATCCCTCTCTGCGAATACAAGTCGACCTAGCGACTTGCTTCTAATGAACAGGATACTGTAAATGTAACGTGATGTCGCAACCGCGACTGGGGTGGAATCCGTCTTGCTCGCTCGCTCGCTTTGTCTTACTCACTCTCGGGGAAGCCAGCTTCCATTCTGGGAGCTGCTCCGGAAAGAGGCTCACAGGGCAAGGAACTGGACTTGCACCAACAGACAGCAAACAACGGAGACCCTCAGTCCAGCAACCTGCAAGGAACTGAATCCTGACAACGCCTGCCTGCGAGCGCCTGGAAGTACATCCTCAGCCAGGGGAGGGATGCGCAGCTCGGGCTGACGCCTGCATTACAGCCCTGCGGGAGACCTGGGGGCGGCAAGCACCGAACCAAACTGCGCCCAGGTTCCTGACCGGCAGACACTGCGGAATAGTCAGTGTTTATTGTTTGTAGTTGCTAAGTTTGGGATATTTTGTTACCTGGCAATAGATAATTAATACCCGGTGAGAAAAGAAAGAGCTGAATTCAATTCCACGGTCACAGCGCATGGAAAGGAAGAGGTCACAGAGAACAAACATGAGCTGGTAGAAACTTTGAATTCTTTGTGCCGACCTGGCCTCCCAGTGGCCAGGCCAGGGCACGGTCCTGTGATGGCCTAGAACCCTGAGACTGTTCTGTGGAAAGCCTAGAACACAATTATTCTCTATCTAGAAATGGCCTGCCCTGCCTACCCCCTGATAAGCCTCCATTTCCTGTTTCTCCCAACGCCGACTACAGCACACTGTCCACTGATGCACATGTACCCGGGCCAGGTCTGCTTCTTCGAATGCCCTTCCTTCTTACCCAGAGATTCCTCTCCTCTTACTCATCCGCCAGTTGTCAGCACCTCCATGACACTGGCCCTAATGGCCTCAGGTGAGTAGCCGCTTTCCTCCATGGAACTACCAAAGCGCCCCCGAGCCTGTATCGACTACCGCACCCATCACAGTGCATTCTGTTTTGCTCTCTGTTCCCGTTGTCGATGGGGGTCCAGTCAATGGTTCCAGCACCCTAGAATAGGGCCTGGTGCATAGCAAGATTCAGGAAATATTTGTTCAATAAAAAATATACTCACTTATATCAGTCATCACGAATAAGAGTAACATCCCAAGATACTGTGGCATATTTCATTGAAAGACCAAATAAGGTAAAGAGGGTCAAATATTTGATGATGGAAGGAAATTTAACTTTAGATGGTGAACACACAACGCGACATACATATGATGTATTATTGAATTGTACACTTGCAACTTATTTGATTTTATTAACTAATGTCACCCCAATGAATTTAATAAAATAAATAAACATAAAAAGGAAAGACCAGAAATATTTATGAATTCTGTACATACTGTGAAATGTAGTATATTGCCTTTGAAACGAGTGCTAGTGCTGTTTTTCCATCATTAAATGTAAGGAAATTTCTCCGCATTTGGATTTTCTTTGTATAATTAAAAAACCCCTTTGCCTTTCATTTCTCAGCCTCATTTTTGCAGCCTTGTAGGGTGCTTAGGTCTTCCATTGACTAACCGGGACATCTAAGAGTCACTTAGCCATGGCTTTGTAGCCTTGCTGATATTTATTCCTGGAAAGAGACTCAAATTCTTGATGCAAAAGGACAATGTACAAACCAGAATTAAATCGCAGGATCTATCAAGGCTTTTCAGAATCTATAAATCTTCTGCTAATTCAGGACTATTTTGTAAAGTATTGTGACCTCCTCCTGTTCATGCTACAATCTAAATGTGAAAGCAGGATGCTTTTGTTATAAAGAAACATTTTAGTTAGAGGAGGCCCGGAAAGTAGCTTCAGTACATCCTGTCCACTGCCCTTCAGTTCCTATTGTGAAAATATCTGCTGATCTATTACCACAAAGTATGTATTTTCCACTGCCTGGCTCTCATGGTGCATCTTGGCCACAGGGCCTACAGCTGGGCGTCACTGAGGTTTTGCTGTATTTGAAATCTAAAGAATTTCTTCTGAATATAGTACAGAACAACACCCTCTGATAAATCAGGTGAAATCTCAAGATCTTATTAATATTACTGTTCATTCTCATGAGGTGACAATCTTAAGCTCTCACCAACATCGACCGTATCAGGTAAAAGTATACAAAAAACAAATTATACATGGGCCTTCCCTTCTAGGAGACTAACATTTGAAATTTGACACGAGAGCAAGGCCTATTGTAGACAAGTGCATTGGTGCTGCTGTGAGAATGTTCTAGGACTTTAAGAATATCAAGATTCATTTCACCCCCACAGAGACTGGATTTGCTTTTACTGCCTTCCCCTCCATGAATTCGTGGTTGGCAGGAATCTCTCTGCAGAACTAGCTACTCCTTGCCCCACATCCACAGAGTTTATCCACAGTTTGAATTTTTTTTTTTTTTTTTTTACCTTTAATGTGCTATTCAAGGTTCGGATTTTGTGGAGTTTCTCATTTATGGACGGATTTTTGCACCGTTTCACGAAGGACTTTCTCAACTCCTTTTTGGTTGAAGGTCGTCGGTCCCCAAGAGGAGATAGACTAGCTTGCTCTAATGATTTGTAGAGCTTCTCCATTTCATCATCTTCAGGCACTTTTGTTTCTTCTATTAAAATAAAAAAAAAAAAAAGCAATAACAATAAACCCACTTAAAGTCCAGGTGAGAGCATTAGACACTGTAGTCCTAAAACAAGGCCCTGCTGACACTTTGATCTCAGACTTCCAGAACTGTGAGACAATGAATTTTTGTTGACTAAGCCACTCAGTGTTTGGCACTTTGTTACAACAGAGCCATGTTCCTTTTGAAAGCACTAAAAAATGATCTGTTCCAGGCCTCTCTCCTAGCTTCTGGTAGCTCCTTGGTTTATGGCAGCGTAACTCCAATCGTCAGATGTTGTTTTTCCTCTGCGCATGTCTCTGTCCAAATATCCTCCTTTTATAAAAGAATACCAGTCATACCTGTTTAGGGCTCACTCTACTGACCTCATATTAACTAATTATACCTGCAACTATTCAATTTCTAATAAGGTTATATTCTGAGGTACTGGGAGTTAGGACTTCAGCATAGGAATTTTTGAAGAACACAACTGAACCATAATAGTCCACCATCCAGCCTGCCAAAATTCATGTCTTTCTCACATGCAAAATACATTCACACCGTCCCAACATCTCCAAAAGTCTTAATCCATTCCAATATCAGCTCTAAGTCCAAAATCTAATCCAAATATCATCTAAATCTGGTATTGGTGAGACTCAGGGAATGATTCATCTTATGGCAAAATTTCTCTCCATCTGTAAATCTGTGAAAACAAATAAGTTATCTGCTTTTAAAATACAGTGATGGACAGGCAAACCCAAACAAATTAATACACACCCTCAAGCTTGAGAACCACTGCCCCTGACTTTCTAATGTCCTTCATGGAGCTGTTCTTTGGGAGATAGAAACTGCCTGTGGTCTGTGGCTTTGAGCGGATAATGATCATTCCTCACACGACTTCTATTCCCCTTCCTGACCATGCCTTGCCAGCCTCGGCCCACGTACTTTTACTGAAGCAACTCTACCCAAGATCCAGGAGACCGCATATGCTAGGCTGATCCAATAGCAGTTCCATCATACAGGCCACAGTCACTTATTTAGGAATGAGCATGGGTTTCAGATCAGGCTAATTTGGGCCAAGGACTTCAGTTCCAAGACTATAGGATAACAGAGAAGCAATCTCTCTTCTTTCCTAAACTGAGTAGTATCATGATGTGAGCTGGAAGATGCCAGGAATCATCCTAAGAATAGTGAGAATGGAGCCAATACATCGGACAGAGCTGAGACATGCATCTTGCTGATAGCACTGGAGTTCTCTCAGCTTATGGGATCCAAAATATTGCCTTTGGGAAGATGCTCTGGGGTGGTTTAAGTCACATGCAATTGGAAGGGCCTCAGATGTCACAGAAGGTTACACAAAGAAAATCTTCATCTCTTGATGTTGCTTTAATTTCTCACTAAGAACTGCAGCCCTGTATTCCTTCATTCCCTGAAGATAATCTTGGAAAAGATACACACTGAGATTTCTTTTTCCACCACATACTCCTTAGTGTCTGTGCATTTCACTTTCTGTCCTGAAAACAAGCTTGATAGAGGACCATACAAAAATATGGCATTAGGACGAACTAAAAATGGGCCTCTCCAAACAGTAGAGAAAAGCATGCACTAGTAGGCTAGGAGCATCAAAATCAAGCAAATTTCACTTACTTTACAGTTTACTTTTGTAAGATTAGAAATCTTTAAGTAATGATTAGTTTTCCTTCATTTACTGCCAAGAAGTCACAATAGGTATTCCCAATACTCTTTCATTAAATGGAAAGCAAAAATGTCGGACTAACTTTGCAACTGATTTGAAGTATTGGTCAGTAAACTTTTCTCTCTACCAAAAATATCAAAAAAAGAGTGAAAATATTCCAAACTACATTTGAAAAACAACTAGACTTTTTCACTCAGGCTGTGTGCAGATATCAATGGTGGGTTTTTGTCAATAAGCACATTAAAAAATGTTCAACATCACTAGTCATCAGAGAAATGCAAACCAAAACCACAATGAGATACTACTTCACACCTATCAAGTTGGCTAAAATCAAAAAGACAGAAAATAATAAGTGTGGGTGAGGATATGAAGAAACTGGAACCTTTATACATTGTTGGTGGCAATGTAAAATGGAGCTGCCACTTTAGAAAACAGTTTGGCAATTCCTCAAAATGCTAAACATAAAGCTATTTTACCACCGAGCAATCCTACTCCTAGGTATATATTCAAGAGAATTGAA